AGCAGGACTGACCTCTGGGTTGGGAGGAGACTGAGAAGGTTGGGTTCAATAATGTATACTGCATTGAAACAGATAAGGGAGAAAACTATTTAACACGGGTAATTACTAGGCATTCTTGTCATGACAGGAGTGCAGAGCAAAGGCTGTATGGTGGCATGGACCTGGGGGAAGGGATTATAAAACAATGGAAGAATTTTTCTTTTACTTTTCCAAGAGGGTAGTGTACTAGGGGGGAGGGTTGGGAAGGGAGAAAAGTGTAACAATGAATGAATGGAAATCCAAAGTCTCTGTAAATTTTCATTGAAATTAATAATAAATTTTAAAAAATGGAGATTAGCCTGCATCTTTGGTACAAGGCTCTACTTATGCCAAACATCGAGTTCTTCTGAACAGTTTTGATTCAAGGCTTAAAGAGTATCTCAGGGTAGGAGTCTTTGCAAATCATCCAGTCTCAACTGGTCTATTAAGATTGGGATATTTTAAGAATTTGAGTTCTATTTGATATCGTGCTCAATTTATCAGGATCCTTCTACTGTATTGCTGATCAGAACTAAAAGTAGTAGGATCATGGCACCATCTAGTTCTTCTCCTTTCTTGGTAGATGAGGTCATGGTTTATGAGAGTGTTTTTATTGTTGTTTTTATGTGCCCTTGCGTCGAGTATGACTCATAGTAACACTATGAACAAAAGATCTGAACCCTGTTCTATCCTGTGCCATCCTCACTTACTGACACACTAGAGCTCACTACAGCATTCACCGTGTCAATCCACCTGGTTGAGGGTCTTCATTGACACGCCACCCTTCCCAATATCATGTCCCTCTCCAAGGAACAGCACCTCCTAGCAAAATGTCTAAAGCATGTGAGGTGAAGCTTCATCATTCTTGCCTCCAAAGAGCACTCTGGCTGCACCCTCTCCAAAACATATTTGTTTGCTCTCCTGGCCGTCCATGGGATTTTCAGTGCTCTTCTTCAACACTACAGCTCAAAGGCATCAATTCTTCTTCTGTTATCCTTACTAATAATAATAATTGGTGACTGGAATGCAAAAGTGGAAAACAGTGAAGAAGGGATGTTGATATTATTGTTGTTATGTGCTGTCAAGTCACCTGTGACCCATAGCAGCAGCTCTGAACCCTGCCCTGTCCTGGGCCAGTCTCACTAAATCTGACACACCAACCCCAGTTGCCGCAGTTACTGTATCAATCCATCTCATCTGGAATCTTCCTCTCCTGCACTGTTCCTCACCCTTCTGAGCATGATGTCCTTTTCCAAGGATCAGTCGGTCCTGAACATATACCCAAATATGTGAGACAGAGCTTCAGAATCTTAGCTTTCAAATAGAAACTTGGTTTCACACTCTCTAAGACAGATCTGTTAGGTTTTTGTGAGTTTATGGTATGTTCAAGAATCTTCTCTAGCTCCACAATTCGAAGGCTCCAAGGCATGGATTCTTCTTTTGCCATTCTTAGCCATTGTCCAGCTTTCTGAAGCATAACAAGTAATCAAAGACCATGGACTGGATCAGGCACACCTTAGTCTCTAGACTGACATAGTTGCTTTTTGCACTCTAGAGAGGTCTCTGAGCAGATTTTCCCAATACAATTCGTCTTTTGATTTCCTGACTGTGGTGTTAAGAATGTTGATTGTGGAGCTGAGCAAGTTGTAATTGTTTACAGCCTCAATCTCGTCTCCATCTATCATGGTGCTGCCAATTGGCCCAGTGGTGAGAATCTTTGTCTTCTTGATGATGAGATGCAATCCATAATGAAAGAGCAATCATTGATCTTCTGCAGCAAGTATTTCAAACCCTCACTTTCAGCAAGCAAGGTTATATTATCTGTGTATCACACAAGTTATTGATAAGTCTTCTTCTAATTCTGAAGCCACATTCTTCTTCATAGAGTTCAGGCTTTCATATTATTAGTTTTGCATTCAGATTGAATAGTATGGAGAAGTGCATTTTTTCTTATTTTTTTCTTTTATTGGGAAAAACATATTGGGGGTACAAGGAGGTGAGGGTTGGGGGCAGAAGGGTGAGGATGGGCCAGGGTGCAGCTGCAGAGCTGCACAGTTTGGTCGGTGGGGGAGCAGGTGAAGGAAATGATGAGGGTCCAGTGGGGACCAGATGCTGCAGAGGAATGACAAGCATTTTCCAATAGTAATTAAACCAACTGTCTTATTGATTTGGGAACTGGATGCCGACTCTCTGGCTTCTTCATGCTGACCGGGGGCGTAGATGTAAAGGGGGGAAGGGAGGACCCTTTATCTCCTTACTGGTGGTCTTGGGTTACAGCTGCTTGCCTTCTTGCTCTTTTAGAAGATATTTTCCTGTCATTTGCTCCCCTCTGGACTGCAAAGTGTTTTCCCAGGTCGTTCCAGTGGGAATGGCTGGTTGAACCCAGAGACTCCATCCTCCTTTGCTTCCTTAGCTGTCAGTTGTATTTCCTTTTTGTCACTGGCACTGGGTTCAGGGTCAATTCTGGAGTAAAACTCAGTGTTAAGGTTACCTATAGGAAAGGGAGTAAACCTAGAGAGAACAAACTTGTGAGTTTCAAATAGAAGGGCTTTGAGGGTGTTGCTTTCAGGTTTACTGGGGGGGAGGGTGGCAGAAGGTGGCCTAGGTAACATTCTCTGGATACCCTAGGCATTCTTTTTTTCCCCCTTCCCCACCCAGGGGTCAGATGGCACAATCTGGGGACTGAGGAGCTCACCCTGAGGGCTGCGATGGCTTGCCCCAAGCCGGGGGCCGAGGGCAGCCCACGCTGGGCAGGGCAACACCCCCCAGGAGCTGGCTGGTATACCCCCCCTCCAATTGCCCCTACCCCAGACTGGTCCCCTCGCCTGACTGAGGACTCTGTGGTCAGGGATAGTGTTTCCAATTCCAGCACTGCCACTTTTACCACCCCCCCTCCAATAAGTGGTCATACTATATTTTGAAGTAGGTTGTACTGCCCTCCCCCTTTATATATGATAAAGGGAACCTGAGAATTGTGAACAGACTCCCCCCAGGTCTAACCATCTTTTGGCAGAAGCATTCAACAGAACAAAATATGTGGTGCATTTAGGATGTTGGTCCTCTTGTGCATGCTGCCACTGTTAAGGTCATCAGACTCACAGTGACTTTCACCAATCTATTGTATAGGTAATTGTCTTCTTTCACCTGTCCAAGGAAACCCAAACCTGCAGATGGTGGACATGCATCCCATCCCCCACCTCCTATGCAGGCAGCCAGCGGGGCGTGCCCCCCTCAGCGCGAGCGGCCGTTGGAGGTGCACCCCCCACCCCGCCACATGGGTGCTTGGCGGCCGCGTGGCCCCTCTTGTGTGGGTGGCCAGCAGGCGCCCGCTTCCCCCAGTGCCACCATTCTGGCTCCAAGAATTCTCTCCAAACAAGCCCACCTTGCGGCAGTGTGGTGGCTTCAATGTACCAGTCTTGAGGAGGGCCGGTGCCCAGCATCCATCCTGGGTGAGGGAATCCATTTGTTCTGGCTGTGGAAGCCTCATGGAGCTGCAGCAGCTGTGTGGCATGGCCCGGGCTCTGTGGGAGGGCGTTGGGAGCCACGAGACTCACCCATTCCTCCTTGGGAATCCTTGAATTCCTGTTGTTGAGCCTTGATCTTCCCTGAGGGCCAGTCATCAACTGTTTAAGTGTTCAATTATCAATAAGCTGAAGTCTGTAGGAGGCCATAATGGCCCTGCTTTAAGTGGTTCGCTGCTCCTGCAGCTCACCACACTGTCTCTGCCTCTGCCGCCATCTTGGATCTCACATTTTTCTCAATTTTTAAACCATGCGGTGTTCCCTTGCTCTATTGTTTCACAATAGTTTCTTTGTCTAGGTATAAATTTTGTATAAGCACAATTGCTTCGCAATGTTAGTCATAATTTATTATGCTCCACACAGTCACATACATACCTTTGTGTAGTTGATAAAGACATTCTTTGGATACTCTTTACTTTCAGCCAACACCCATCTGATATCAGCAATGATATCCCTGGTGCCAAAGTCTCTTCTAAACTCAGCTTGAACTTCTGGCAATTCTCAGTTAATATGCTGTTCTAGCCATTTTTGAATGGTCCTTAGCAATATTTTGCTTACATGTGATATTAATGATAATTTTTTTATAATGTCCAGATTCTGTTGCATCATTTTTCTTAGGAATTGAAATAAATACGAATCTCTTCAAGTAAATTGGCCAGGTGGCTCTCTTACAAATTTCCTGGCACAGATTGATGAGCACTTCCAGGGCTGCATTTGCTAATTGAAACAGATTTGTATCCTTTTTTGATCCTTGGGACTTTATTTCTCGACAATGCCTTTAGTGCAGCTTGAGTACTCATTACCAATCTCTCTTAATCATGTTCTATATCTTGAAACATTTCAATGTCAACCAATTCTTTTTGGTACAGTGACTCTGTATATTCCCTCCATTTTCTTCTGACATTTCCTGGATAATTCAAGATATTGTCCATGGCATCTCTCCATGTTGCAACTAGAGGATTGAATTTGTTTTTAGTTCTCTCAGCTTGAGAAATGCCAAGTAAGATCTTCTCTTTTTATTCTCTGGCTCCAGCTTTTTGTACAGATTGTTATAATACTTTGCTTTGTCTTATCTTCTTGTCAGTTAAACTCCTTGGCTTATCTCTTCTACCTTTGTGTGTCTTCCGTTTGCTTATTTGACTTCTCATTGTTCTAGCCTGATTTTCTTTCTTTCTTTTTTTTTTAAACCACTATATCTTGATTTTTAATAACACTACTCAAGTTTTTAAACAGGTGTAAAAATAGTGTCCATTATAATTATTCCAGAAATAAAATATTTTAAGACAATGACAATCATCTGGATGTGGAATTTTCTCCATGAGGGATTCACCACTTTATGTAATCTCACCAGCCTGAAACATGATTCTGTGTCAACTGTGGTGAAGCCCCACTGTCAACTTGTCGGAATCCTGGAACATGGGCTGCGGTCCTGGGAGGGAGGCAGCAGCACAATCATCCGCCTTAGGAATCCTCATCCTGAGGTGGTTCTACAATTCTTAAGCAGCAGTCAGCAAACTCCACAAACAAGGGCTCTTGCATGTAAGCTTTCATGAGCTTTGCTTTGTCGTTGCCCTGATCAAGGTTGACCATCAATTCTCTAAGATGTGGATTAAGCAGTAAATTCCTTAGATGTACAGAGTCCCCTAGATTCTTTAATTTCTGCAGAGAAACTCTGTCTTGTTCTTCATCACTATTGAGAAAATCTGCTATGGATGACTCATCATCTTTGTTTTCCTCAGGCTTTGTCGTTTTTATAAGAAGTGATGTGTTGTTTTTTTTCTTTTCAGGATGAATTTCAGGGTTGCACTGCTCTTTGTGATTCCGGAAGCAAGACACCGAGCAGTAGGGCACGCGGCAGCCAGGACAGCGGTATTTGGGCTTGCCCAAACACACCACGCAGATAGTAGTTTTACAATTCAGAGACGACATGATCGCAAGCTCATGAGACTTATTCTTAGCCTGATTTTCAGTCTCATCTGACAACCATCTTGGTCTTTTCTTTCTTCTCTGTCCATATAATGACCTCTTTGCTCTCTTCATGAATGATGCCTTTGATGTCATCTCACAACTCATTTGGTTTTGAATCATAGGTATTCAATGCTTCAAACCTATTCTGGAGCTGATTTTTTTTCTTAAAAAAGATATTTGTGATGAATAAATCATTGAATATACAAAATCCAATCATTCCATTTCCAGCCTCATTCTGTCACCAAGTCTGTACTTTCTGACTACCATTCCTTCTTCAACACATTCCATCCACAAACTATTATTAATGCATCTTAATTGCACGTTTGCCATTTCAGACTGAAAAAAGTTGATTGTGGTTTTTGTTGTTAAGTGCCATTGAGTTAAGTACAAGTCGTGGAGACCCTATGAACAACAGATCTGAACTCTGTCTTATCCTGCATCAACCCTGCAGATATTTTATAAATTTACTTTGTTGAGGGTCTTCCTCTCTTTTGCTGACCCTCCATCTTTTCAAACATGATGTTCCTTTCCAAGGAAAAGTCTTTCCTAACAATATGTTAGATGAAGCTTCACCATCTTTGCCTCCAAGGAACACTTTGACAACAATTTCTCCAAGACATATTTATTTTTTCTTTTTGCAGTCCACTGGGTATTTGGCACATTTCCAACACCACAACTCAAATGCATTCATTATTCTCTTGTCATCTAGCTCTCAGATGCATAGCAGGTGATTGGAAAACCTGTGACTTAAATTAGGCACACCTTGGTCCTTAAATGGACATCATTGACTCCAGGACTTTGGAAAGATCTCTGACAGCAGACTCTCCCAATGCTACACATCACCCAATCTCCTGACCACTGGCACCAAGGGTGTTGACTATGGATTCGATCAAAATGAAAGAAATCATTGACAATTTTGATCTTCTCCATCTATTATGATCTTGTCTATTGGTCCAGTGGTGAGGACTTTTGTTTTCTTGATGTTGAGATGTAATTCATATCAAAGGCTGCAATCCTTGACCTGATGACCATTTGATAAAATTTTCAGAATAGGATCTGATTTCCAAAGTAGATTTGTGCAAACTGTTTCCACATACTGGTCTCACAGCTCAGAATAGTGACAGCTGAAAAATACTTTGAAACAAGACTGTCCTTGTGTGACTTTTATGTCTTGCACTAGAATCTGCCCCACTCTCCATTAACAATAGTAGCTGGTTTTCATCATTGGCTCCAGCTGTTTGCACATTCCATTACAATACTTTGCTTTGTCTTCTCGAACCTGCCTTTGAAATCTTCCACTTACCTGTTTTACTTTGTCATCTCTTGAAAAAGGTGATAGAAATCCTCTGTTTCCTCCTCTTTGGCTTTAGCTCTCAGTAGGGATATTTGAATAATATTTTTATTAACAAATCTTAAAAAAGGTATTGTTTAAAATCAGGAAAGGTGTGTGTCAGGGTTGTATCCTTTCTCCATACCATAGTCAATCTGTACACTGAGCAAATCATTTGAGAAGCTGGACTGTATGAGGAAGGATATGGCATCAGCATGGGAGGAAGATTCAGCAACAACCTATATTATGTAAATAACACAACCTTGATTACTGAAAAGAAGACAAAAATCCCCACCAATGGACCAATAGGCAAAATCATGATAAATGGAGAAAAGGCTGAAATTGTCAACAGTTTCATCTTCTTTGGATCCACAAGCAACACCCATGATTCCAGTAGTCAGAGATCAGGAGACGTATTTCATTTGGAAAGTCTGATGTCACGGACATCTCCAAACTACTGAGGAGAAATTATGTGAATTTGAAGACTAATGTGTGCCTGATTTAGGTCATGGTCTTTCCTATCATTTGCATCTGAGAGCTGGACAATGAATAAAGATGACAGAAGAAGAGCTGTGATGTTGGAGAAGAGTAATGAATATTCCATAGACTGTCAAAGGAACAAACAGTTATGTCTTGGAGAAGTTGCCCCCAGATTGCTCCTTGGAGACAAAGATGACAAAACGTCACCTCTCATAATTTGGATATATCATTAAGAGAGGCTATTCCTTGGAAGGGGACATCATGCTTGGAAAAGTAGAGCATTGGCAAAAGAGAAGAAGACTCAAGGGAGCTCTGGTGTCCTAGTGGCAAGAAACTGCACTGCAATCCTAGAGATATGCGGTTCAAATCCACCAGAAGCTCTGCTGGAGAAGGAGGGGCAATCTCCTCCTGTACCAGTCAGATCTGATTTGACAGTACATATACTGCAAATAATAAAATAAAAAAATAAATTAAAAAAATTCTAAAAAAAAGAGAAGACTCTTAACAAAATGAGATTGACATGGTGACTGCAGCAATGGGTTCAAGTATATCCCAGATGGTGAGGATGGACTTGGTTGAGATCTATTGTTCACAGGGCCACTATGAGCCACACTTATCTTGAGAGCACCTAACAACAGCAACAACTTGTTTCCAGTCACTCAATTAAGCCAGCACTTCTAGCTTCCCTGATCGTAGAACTTCCAATCAGAACATTATTATTATTTTTTTTTTTAAATTTTGTGCGCGTGTACCGTCAAATCAGATCTGACTGGTACAGGAGGATATTGCGCCTCCTTCTCCGGCAGAGCATCTGGTGGATTCGAACCGTGTTCCTCTGGGATTGCAGTGCAGCTTCTTACCACTAGGCCACCAGAGCTCCCCCAATCAGAACATTATAACTTTTGCCCTTGATTCTACCTTAGGATTATGGCTTTGTTACAACACCATTTTGGAGAGTTTGATTTCACTTGGTGAGATAAGATGTATTTTGGTTCTGTTTTTTGTTTTGTTTCGTTTTTTTAAAGTTTTTTTTCTAGTTTATTTACAAAACTTGAATACATTATTTTCAAAAACAAATTCTTTCAATTTCCCTCTGTTTTTGAACCTACAGCAAATCTGTTTGCTTTTATTTCATTTATTCTTATTTTTTGACTGAACATTAAGCAAAAAGGTCTATTCATTATCTGAGGCCTCACTGGCCAATATCCAAGACCCCCTTCAGTTAGTACAAATTATCAAATAACAATGATAGGAATGCTGACTTAGTGCCTATATCCCAGGCACTGGGATGGCTAGACATTCTTTTATTTTAAACTTTAGAACAATTTTCCAAATGTTGCTATTGTGAGATGTCCTCAAATTGGTGCTACCTTATAGTTACCCTGTTATTCTTTTTTTAAAATATAAAGTTTTAATTGTGACTTAAACAAACATTTACAGAGAAGTTAGATTTTCATTCATTTATTGTTACATGTTTTACCCCCTCTCTCTCCCTTCCCCCATCTCCTCCTTACCCCTATTCACTTTTTTTTAAACAAATTCATTCATTGTTGCACAATTACTTACCTTCCCCTGAGTCCTCTTTGCAATGATGTACCTCTTATTCTGGGCTCTTGTGGTACGAAAATGTCTAATCATATATTCTTTTTAAACAATTCTTTCCTAGGGAGCTCTGGTGGCCTAGTGGCAGGACACTGCACTGCAATCCCAGACGTGCATGGTTCAAATCCACCAGATGCTCTGTTGGAGAAGGAGGGACAATTTCGTCCTGTACCAGTTAGATCTGATTTCACAGTTGTTGTTGTTGTTATTTGACGTCTAGTCGCTTGCGACTCATAGCGACCCTATGTACAACAGCCCTAAACTCTGCTCTGCCCCGTGCCAATCGCACTGTCTCTGACACTCTCATCCCAATTACCCCAGTCACTGAATCAATCCACCTCATAGAGGGCCTTCCCCTCCTGTGCTGTCCCTCCACTCTCCCAAGCATGATGTCCTTCTTCAAGGACTGGTCTCTCCTTACAACATGTCCAAAGTATGTTAGATGGAGCCTCAGAATCCTTGCCTCCAAGGAGCTACCCCGTTTAACCCTTTCCAGGATGAATCTGTTTGTTTTCCTAGCAGTCCATGGTATTCTCAATACTCTTCTCCAGCACCACAGCTCAAAGGCATCAATTCTCCTTCTATCCTCCCTAGTCATTGTCCAACTCTGTGATGCATAACAAGTGATAGCAAAGACCATCACCTGTATCAGACGCACCTTAGTCTCCAGAGAGACACCATTGCTCTTCAGTACTTTGGAGAGGTCCCTAACAGCAGACTTTCCCATGGCAATGCACCTTTTAATTTCCTGGCTACTGGTGCCAAGAGTGTTGACTGTGGAGCCAAGCAAACTGAAGCTGTGAACAATCTCAATCTCTTCACCATCCATCTTGATGCTGCCAAATGGCTCAGTGGTGAGAATCTTTGTCTTGACATTGAACCTCAATCCATATTGGAGGCTGCAGTCCTTGACCCTCTGCAGCAGGTGCTTCAGGTCCTCCTCAGTTTCAGCAAGCAGGGTACACACACAAAAATAATAAAGTAAAAAAAATTATTTATCGTAGCTTTGTTCACAACAGCAAGGAGTTGGAAACAACCTAAGTGCCATCAACAAACGAATGGATAGAGAAGCTGTGGTATATTCACACAGTGGAATACTACGCTGCATTGAAAAACAAGGAACTCGTGCAATATTATTCAAAATGGGTGACCCTGGAGGACTATGCTGAGTAAAAGATCTCAGTCACAAAAAGACAAATACTGGATAGTGCCACTGTTGTAGAATGGGACAGAGATCAGGGTTGTGGTAAGACAGAAAAACTGGATAAATTATGTATACTTCATTGAAACAGATGAGGGAGGGAACAGTTTAGGGAGGGAATAGTTTAAAATCGATATATGATAGCGTATTATGATTATCACAGGAATCCAGAATTAAGGTTGCATAGTGGAGTGCATTCAGGGAGGGGGGATTGTATACCAATGAAGGAGTTATCTTTTACTTTTCGAAGAGAGGAGTGAACTGGGGCGGGGGTAGAGAAAAAAAAATGCAACAATGAATGAACGGAAATCCAAAATCTCTGTAAATGTTCATTAAAAGTAATAAAAG